AAGACCCAATTTTTGGATAGCTTTCAACATGTAAATCACGAAGCTCCCAAGTTAAAACATGACTAAAAGTGAAATCGCATAAAAAAAAATTTTAAAAATGCACTATGTCACTCCATATCACCTCAAAACATCAAGGGAGAGGCCTAGTCGGATCCACGACCATCAATCACGCATCCCGATGCATGATGGCCAAAGATCCAACTTGTGCAAATCAATATGAAAATGAATGCACAAATAAAGTAAGTAAAGCCTAGAACTCTATCATGAATCATCAAAAGCTTCGGCGACCGAGAATTGAGACACGTTTCATCACTTGAAGTATGAAACGCCCCTCGCTCCTCGTGCTCGGATTAATACTTAATCCAAGCAATGCAATGCATGTATGTTTTATGTAGCTCAAATATGCAATATGAGGCTCAAATATGCAAGGCATGCCAAATGCTATGCAACTAAGCATGCGAGTGTACAAACTAAGCTAATGTAACGCAAACACACTAAGTATGCAACAAGGATACACAATGCAGCTAGCTAAATGACGTGCAAACGTGCGAACGTGATATGATGCAAGTATGCGACTAATGTAATGCAACATGTCAAATATGCATTGGTGGGCTTAAACCATAAAGGGGCAGACCTCAGCCCATCCCAAAACAGTGGCCAAAGTGCAAGGAAGCAAGGCCAAAACAAGCTGATTAAGCATGTTCATGCAAGAGGCCAATGAAGCACATAAACTAGAGCTATATGATACAATGCTTGTAGGTCTCAAACACCTCAAAACATTCACCCTACATGCCATATTGATGCTGAAAATGCCATGATCATACACCGAAACAAGCTCAAATGATATGCCCAAACAATAGACTCTTGAAGCACATGAGCTACAACTATGTAATGCAATGCATGAGAGTTTTATCCAGTCCAAAACAGAGTTTCTACATGTTAATTTAGGGCCTAAAACATGCTGGAAAATAGTCAAAACAAACTAGAAAAGCATGCTCTCCTTTAGGCCATTCTAAGCATTTAAACCATAACCATGCAAAGCAATGCACAAGCTACCTTAACACCTCAAAATAGAGCTTAATCACAGCAAAATACGGACTATTGCAGGCCAAAGTTAAGCTAGCACATGTTAGGAAGATAGGCTAAAACATGAAACAAGCTATGGCTAGGGCGCAAAATTACACCACAAGTGTATTATGCAAGCATGGAGTGATAAAACCAACTCAAAACAGATTCATGGCATGGTAAAACATCACAAAAAACTTGCTGAAATGGACTCAACACAAGCTAAGCACATATGCTACTTTGATGAGCTATGAATGGAGTTGCACTACACATGCTAGATGCAAGTAGAATATGACCAAACCAGCCATGGACAGGGCCAAGGCAGGTCCTAAAAGTCACAAGAATAGGCCTGGACCAAGCCTCAAAAATGCATAGAGGGATGGTCCTTTGGAAGGCCAAAAATGCATGCAAAGAGGAACACAAAGAGAGGGGACTACCCCCCCTGATTTAGGACCTCAAAACCATACCTCTATCACCAAAATCCCACTGGATTTTAGTGGTAGGAAGGCCAAACCAAGGCTAGCTCAGAGGCCTCAAGATATGGCTTAAAACAAAGCCAAACAAAGCATGCAAGGGGGCTACACACCCCAAACAGCAAAATAACCTTAAACAAACTTAAAAAAAAGACTTTTTTCAGTTATAAGAAAAGCCTAAATAAATATTCAAAGAGGGCTAAAGCAAGGTGCAAAAAAAAGTGCAAAAATGGGGGAAATGCTCACCCTTGAAGACCCTCTTCGAAACCAGCAATTTCAGGGGATGGAAACTCATTTTCAGACTTCAAGAAGACCTCCCAAGAAGCTTGGTTCAATGGTGGTGGTGTGTCTCTATGTGTTATAATGTAAAAGTGCAAGGAAATCCAATTTCTAAGCACTAAACTCAAGCAATATAGAGAGAAAGGGAGTTTTTCCTCTTCAAAAGTTCAGAACCCTCTTTAAGGAAGAAGCCTCTTCCTTATATAGAGGAATGAAAAGCCAAATCTTCTTCAAGAAGCTTTGCAAGGCCTTCATCCCTCTATACACGTGTATGGAGGGGAGCAATCAAAAAACCAGCTGGCTCAAAAGATCTGGAGGAAAACCAGCTGAGACAGGGGGGGTGCCGGCCATCATCAATGGCCGACAGTGGCTCATTGATGGCCGGCAGGATCAAAGCCATGGCTGGCAGTGCACCAAAAGGGTCACTCTAAAAGGACCAAGTCAGGGTCCAAAAATGAGGCAGAAAGGATATAGGGTCCGGGAAGCTCGAACCGGTGACGTTCCGCCGCGATAGTCGAGTACTCGGCGAGCAGTCGAACTAGTTGTTGGGTGTACCTGCAAGCACAACCAAGTCCCGAGGACGGTCAAAAATGGGGTGTCTACACAAGGTCTATGATGGCTCATGCTGATCTTTCTATTCATTTTTAGGGGGAAACTTTGTCCACCATTGCGTACATATTAAATAGAGCCGAAACAAAAGCCAAACCTCTAACTCCTTACGAATGCTGGCATGGTACTAAACCTAATGTTCAAAATCTCAAAGTTTGGGGAGGTAAAGCACATGTACTTATTCCCAAACTTTTAAGGGATAAATTGGAAAATAAAACTTGGAAATTCAAGTTTATTGGCTACGTTGAAAATGAGAGTGGTTATTGTTTTTACTGTCCCGAACGTATATTAATAGAAAGTAGAGATGTTATTTTTCTTAAATCCATTGATCTTGTTACTTCTATTGAACAAATTGAATTGCTCTCCGAAGTATCTCAGGATTCTTTTCTTCTTTTTTTGTCACCAGCACCACCATTTCTCCCAGAACCACCTAATAGTGGGAGGAAACGACAACTACATGATGTGTTACCTGCTTCGAATCCTGAGATAAGTGGGAGTAAGAAAGCAAGAAGTCCATCTATTTTTTTGAAAGATCATTATGTTTTTCAAGTTGAAGAACTTAATAACTTAGTAGATGATCCCACTAGTTATAATGAAGCAATAACAATGGCTTGAGGCAATTAATGAAGAACTTGACTCGATCAAGAAAAATGATGTTTGGGAATTAACCGATCTCCCGAATGAAAGAAAAGCCATTGGTTGCAAATGGGTTCTTAGAAATAAATTCAAAGTAGATGGACGTTTGCAGAAATACAAGGCCAGGTTAGTAGCCAAGGGATTCACTCAACAACCTGGAATAGACTTTGTAGATACATATTCTCTTGTTGCAGAATTTGCCTCAATAAGGATTCTAATGGCGGTAGTAGCCAGAATGGATTTGGAGTTGCATCAATTAGATGTTAAAACAACTTTTCTCAATGGAGAATTAAAATAGGAAATTTATATGATGTAACCTGATAGTTTCCAGAATCAAGGCAACGAGGATAAAATCTACAAGTTGAAAAAATCTTTGTATGGACTTAAACAATCTTCAAGACAGTGGTACTTGAAATTCCACCAAGCCATTTTAGAAATGGGCTATGTTGTGAATCCATTAGATCACTGTGTTTATACCTGAAAAAATGATGACAAGTTAGCAATATTGTCTTTATACTTGGATGACATATTGTTAGCAGGAAATTGTCCAAATATGATTACAAAAATCAAAACTTTCTTGGCATCTAGATTTGACATAAAAGACATGGGACTTGCAACCTATGTTCTAGGAATTAGAATTTCAAGAGATAAATTCAAAATTATTATATCTAGATCAAAAGAGATATCTAGACAAGGTGCTCAAAAGATTTAATATGGATAACTATAATTCTTTAAGCATGCTTGTCTACAAGGGACAAAGTCTTAGTAAAAGTATGAGTCCTCAAACTAAGTCTAACATTGAGGAAATGAGAAATATCCCATA